CTGGTCATGACTCGTAAGTAAAAGGGTCAGCCAAGAATAAGCCTCACTAGTAGAAGATCATCTACAGATGCTGCAACCTGCCTGTCAGGCTGAGCTTCACGTGGCAATTCGGCTGAACTATGACACCTAGTCACGTGGTTGAATATCACTCTGGTTCACAGTGCTTAAATAAGTAATATATGAGTAATGAAAACTACTCTCCACAATGTGAGTAGAGATCCTCAAGTCAGTTGAAGTGCCTAATTAAAAGCAGATGTAAGTTCCCCAAAAGAAAATTCAGCATCTAAACTGTGTTGACACTCAAACGTTACCATCAATTCTTCCCTCCATCTCCTTCCTGCTATCTTACTCTGCTGAAAACAAAATGCGGACTCATTCTTTAAAGCAAATCCTATATTTATCTCTCTGTATAAATCCCTTATTATGTTTGATAAGAACTCTAATTGTGTGTCATCTATCATTCTAATTATTAAATTTGGCACAGGGACCAGCATAAAACAATTAGCATTTGAAATAAAACTTAGCATTTTATATTTGTTTCTAAATTGATGATGTACATAGAATTATAAATTTAAATATGTTTAAAATCTATATGAAGAAAAGTATAATACAGGCAATCAAAAGGCTCTCTCCAGTATATTTAAGTGGTCTTTGACACAGGAATAAGGCAGTGCAAATAGTGTTGAAATAATTGGATCATCCATATGAATAATCATGCAAAAATATGAACTTAAATGCAACATAAGAAATAACACACTGCTTCAAAGATAATGCTTAAGAAAATCCTGATGGCCTTGAGATTGTGCTCTTAAATACAACATCAAAAGTGCAAAGAAAATGAATTGGTAACCTGGACTGCATGAAATTTAAAAACTTTGTGCTCTGTGAAATAAACTTTCAAGAGTGTGAGAAGGCGAGGCACAAATTGGGAAAAAGTACTTGAAATGAAATATGTGATAAAAGGACTAATATCCAAAATATGCAGAGAACTCAAAATGAACATTAACAATTGCACAACTTGTTTAGGAACCTCTCTATGCAAAAGATCTTAACCAATACAGATACTTCACCCTGGCACATTAGTCTACCGAAGTTTCCCAATGTCATATATCATTAGGAAACTGTAAATTAAATCAATAATGAGATACTACGACACATACATCACAAGTTTCAAAAGCCAAAGCATAATAATCTCACACTGTGTGAAGGATGTGAAGAAGCAGGAATTTTCATTCATTGCTGGTGGAAATGCGGAATGTGTAGTCACTTTGGAAGACAACTGAGTAGGTTTCTCACAAACTAAACATACTTCTTCCATAGAATCCACCAATCACATTTCTTATTATTTGCTCAAACAAGCTGAAAGTTTTATGTATACACAAAAACACTTTGCACAAACATTTATAACAGCTTTATTTATAATTACACAAATTTGGAAAATGATATGCTTCCAAAGTATAAATAAACTGTGGCATGTCCATGCAACGTAATATTAACAGCATCAAGACAAATGAACTTTTAAACTATGGAAAAAGCGTACTTGAATATTGTCATCAAGCCATGAATAAAACTTGGGGCCACATTACTAAGCCAAGGAAGAAAGTCTGCAAAGGTGATACACTATATGATTCCAAGAATATAACATTTCAGAAAAGACAAAACTATGAGACTCTAAACAAGATTGCTGACCAACAGGGACAGAGCTGAAGAATTTCCAGGGCAGTGAAATTATTTTGTAAAACACTAGATAGGTGGGTAAATTCATTATGCATTGGTCAAAATCCATAGGATATATACAACATTAACTGAACCGTGATGATGTGAGATAGGGGTACAAGGAACTGTGTGTTTTCTGCAAATCTACAACTATTCTAAAAAATACTCTATGAAAAAGTCACAGGTCATTGAAAACTCCACAAGAAACCTACAAATGTCTCTCCGTGACTTTTGCCAACTAAATTTGAGGGCAAAGCCTGCTGGTAAAATATAAATTTGCATTAATTCAAATGACAAAATACCATTTAAAAACCAACGGTCACTACTTTTATTATTTATTTGCACAATAATCATAATCACAGAATTGTCCTGGATAAACACAAAATTTTTGTTCTAGAATTTACAGCCCAAATATAGAGTGGAAATTTAGGAAGAACTTTGCTTAAGATCATCAAAATGAGCATAGGAATGAAGGAAGTGATTTCAAAACAGTCAGTGTGTAGACAAGATTTCTTAATATTTATAATTCTTATAGCTAGTTGTGGTGGACAGTGAAACACTATCCTCCCATTGTCCTGTGTTGACCTGTATTTTTGTAATTGACAAATTGTGTGGGTATATTTTCTCAAAGATCTAACAACACTAAATAGACGGCAATAAATTACACTCCCAGAAGTAAATTGCTTCAATATGGGGATCTGAGTCATTGATAGGGCTTTACCTTACTCAAAGTCATGAGTAACCAGCACTGCCAACATTCAGAGTTCACTTTTTCTCCTCTGGACATTAAGTCATATTTGCTCTCTGAACTAGTTCTTAGAGTTTAGTTTTGTTTAGTTTGTTTAGTTTTGGTACAGGTGAAAGTTTCCCTTACTGTGATTTAAAGTTAAACAGAAGAATTAAATCTGCTTTCCACTTGAAGATTTCCTCGTGGCTTTCCCATCAGACCTGACACTTCCATATTGTGGAGCTGCAGAATATTAAGATCACACTGACAATTTATGACTCACCACTCACTTTTCACACTTTGTTTGGATGCTACTGAGTTGCTTCAAAGTGCTCCCAAACACTAGCTTTGCATTTCTCTCCGAAGTTGTAGGTAACTCTTTCTCCTTGCAATGGTCTAGCTTCTCTGCCTGGGTTATTCCATAGCTTTGAAAATCTGAGTCCCTATGTTCACTTCAGCAGAAACCTCACTTGCCCTATGGAGAGACTTAAAACACTACATTGACATTTCCCTGGGCTCTTACCCAAGCGAGGTATATATGCCAAATGATACTTCTCATTCATATCGTCATACAGAAGACTTTATTTTAGAAGCTATCTGTCTCTTAGTGAGTGGGATTTTTGATTTTTGTCTGGTGACGATACACACACACACACACACACACACACACACACACACACACACACAAACCATCACTGTGCTTATACATTACCTGGTCCATACCAATAGCTCTAGAAATTTTGGATAAATTTAATTAAGTGATGCATATTACTCCATACCAGTTAAAGAATTGGGTTTTACTTAAAATCCAAAATATGTTTATTGTTTCAAGATGAAATTTTAATCCTAGAGAATTCAACTTTTTTTAACCGAGTCCTCAGTCCCCCAATTTTCAGTTCTTGAACTTAAATAAGAAGCTCTTTTATTCTAGCAATTTCTGCTAGTTGAGTCATTGAAACAGGAGCACATTAATGTAAGTAAGATTTACACAGATATCAATACAATTCAAAGGTTCCCAGGAGGCCAGTAAAGACTCAGAATGACTTGCTCCTAGGAGCATTTAGACTCAGCCCCTTACCTTGAGTGGTTGCAAATACAAAGCTCTGGAGTACTCATTAATTCTGAGCTCCCTACGCCTGCCCTAGGGGGAAAGAATGGCCTACCCCTGCCCAAGGGGGAAAGAATGGCCAGCACCGGCATAGGATAGTGATGTGAGGAGTACCTGATGCTGAGTAGGAACCTGGCCTCCCACTTACATGCTAGGTGATAATTCTACCCCTGATTCCGCTGAGATATGTCCCCTCACTCTGGGGCCTCCAATTCTTAAACAAGGCCTCAGTCTGTTCTTACTGTAGGCTGTCCCTGAAGGAGTAACCTAAAACTTCTCCTCTGGACTCTTGAGGGCCTGGGAATCCGTGATGTGCTTCAACATTTCCGGTGGTGGAAACACTGTAACTCCAATGGAGCCACCCTTCAGCCTGCTGGAAATTGACATTTTGGAACCAGGATCAGAGCAATGGGACTGGAAACCCTGCCTTCGGTGTCTGCAGAGCCCCCAACTTCATACCAAAGTGTCCTTTGACCTGAGTTACAAGGCGGGAAACCAAAGGTCTGTGGAGAGGTGCTGGCCCTGAGGGTTTGAACACAGAAACTGAAAAGTGCCTCTGTCACGCAATACAGTATGGAAGGAGGGCGGAGAGAGTGAGAAACAGAGGCTAAACAGAAGCTAAAAAATCAGGATCAGTGTAACTTTCAGAAAGGAAACTGCGCTTCCTCTTCGCATTCCTGGCTTCTTTCTGGGCTGGATGAACGTGTTGGTGGGAGTGCTTGAATCTAAGAGGGAGGACCGCGGGACACTGTTTCCCTCCTCAGACTTCTGTTTCTCCGGAGTGAAGTTTAAATGGTCTTAGAGTTTCCTTGACTTCTTAGTAAGGAGTTTCCAAATGACACTGAGTCACATACCAGTCCATAAAGTTCCTAAACACAACTGTCATCACTCGTTCCCTGCAAGACCTTGAACAGGGTCGTCACCTACATTTCATTCTGAGCAAGTGATCTGTTAAAGGGCTTGTGTGTGCATCTGTACTCGCCTGATCGAGCTGTGCGCTGAGTTCTAAGGTGTCCCCTTTCTCCCCCTTCGCGATCCGTTTCCCTCTATCTGGAGGGGGTGTACTCGCCTGTGCGCCTGTAGACGTTTAGCGAAAGTCGTTTGGAGAAAGCCATCCCTCTGGCAAGCCCCAGCTGCATCTAAAGCAGCATTCCTCCTACCGGACGCGTCTCTAACGTTTTAGCAGCGCGCTCTCCATGCTGGTGCCCCGGACTATCTCAGCGCTCCCGGGTGCAAAGAGCGGGCGCCCTAGGAGATGGTGCTTGTGCATTCGTGTGTGTGTCTCTGTGAGTGCGTGCGAGCGGGCGCGCGCACGACCGGGAGCTTCCTCCCCGGCCCCGCGCACACAGAGCCGGCGACGTTACTCTGCGAGCAGCCGCCAGCAACGCGAGGCAACAGCAGCCTCCGCCTCCTGCGCCCGGTGATTGGCTGGCTTTGCTCATCGCTTCCCTGCTAGGAAGAGGGAAGGGCCAGCGACGCCCCCAACCTAGCTGCAGAAGCGGCCGCCACCTCCGAAGCACAAGGTGTCACATCTCAAAAGGAACCTGAGCCCCGGGAAGGCGGCGCGGAGCGACCAGGCAGGGCTGGCGCGAACTGCGCGCAGGGCGCTGGGCAGCGCGGGAGGACCGGGAGCGCAACCGCAGCAGCGGACCCCAGTGACCCATCCGGGATCCCGGCTTCCACGCTCTCTTCGTATTTTTCAGATCCACTTCCCTCCCCCGACTCTTTCCCCAAAACGGAGCCTTTATAGAGAAGGTTGCCTGAGCCAGAGCAGCCCGGACTTTTCTGGGCACACAAGATGCTCTCCATTAGGAAGAGGTGGACGATCTGCACTATAAGTCTGCTCTTGATCTTTTATAAGACAAAAGAAATAGCAAGAACTGAGGAGCACCAGGAGACGCAACTCATCGGGTAAATGAAAGCTCCTTTTCAGGATATGACCGAAAGTAAAGGCGTAGGTGCCGTGTGTGTATAGGCGGTAGAGTCAGGGTTGGGATTCTAAGTGTGTGCTTTGGAGCTTGTGAGTAGAGATTCTCGCAAATTAAATAACAAAGGCTGTTGTCGAGGGGTGTGTGTGTATGTGTGTGTGTGTGTGTGCGCGCATCTTTGAGCGTGTGCGCCTGTGTGCCTGTGTTTCTCCACGCGAGTTCAACTTGCCCTGTGCAGTGTGCAGGGGTGCTGGTGTCACTTGTGTTGGCACTGGATGCCCATACGCCAGAGAAATCACTGCAGAAGTGTCAACAAAGAACGTTTGCCCTTGTCCTTTAAATCCGTGGGCAGAACTCAGCCCTGGCTGAGATGTCTCTATTCTATTTGTCTCCCCCCACCCCCACCCTTGTCGCTACAGCGAGAAACGAAGGTAGCTGGTTTCTGAAAGATTAAAGTTAAAGCCCACACAGAAGGAAATTGGTCTCTTCTGTTTCTCTACTTTTTTTGGTTGTGTTTTTTTTTTTTTTTTTTTTTTTTTGAGATTCGGTAGATCTGTGCATTTTAATTTGAATTAGACATTCTAGTACCATCACCAAGTATAATTCCTTAATTTGCACCTCCAGGGATAAAACGCGGTCATAGTTTTAGAAAGAAGCTGGGCTACTGTATCTTCACTGATTGTATTGCTACTATTTTGTTGGTTTGCCTGGATGAGTTCCTTCCTATCTCCCCCGCCCCAGTAACTTCTCTAAATATCCCACTTCCTTCCTCCCTCCCTTCAACTTCTTGCCTTTGAAATTTACCCAGGGGGTGGTAGTAACTTTGTGAGGCTGATAGAGCTTGGAAGCTTTTTCTGAGGATGTGTACATTGTTGTCAGCTCTGTTCAAAAGTCCTGTTTCGGAAATCCTCCCTGTTCGGAGGCGTCCGCTAGCTGAAACTCTACACTTACCTAGATGCCATCCTGGGTTTTGTTTTCTCTGACACTGGTTAAAGCGAAGGGACTTTGTCATTGTACATGCGTGCCAGTGTGTGTGTATGTGTGTGTGTGTGTGTGTGTGTGTGTGTGTGTGTTTGTGTGTGATGGAACTGCTAAATACCGGCTCTTAAACTTTATGGAGTCCATGTCTTAAAATTCCTGCTCCTCCCTGAGTACTGAGCGTTTCAGTATTTACGGGGAGGAAGCCAGGGCAACAGTGGTACAGGCAAGGACTGGCAGAGAATGAAAAGCTAAGGAGGAGTGGCCTGAATGGTAGTTATGCATCCACAGATCTACCCAGGGTCTAGTCTTCGGAAGGAAGAAATAAATAAATAAAAGAACCCCATGAGGTCGTTTACACAGGAGTGGGCGGGTTGAAAATCCCGTGCTGAGCATTGTCAGAGAAGGGGTTCAGGAGGGGCGGCGGGCAGCGTGGGGAGACCTGCGCCCCTCAGGCAGACAAAGGGGTATTTGGGAGGTGCTGGCCCGGGCGGGCTGGGTGCAGGCAAGGCCGGGGCGTGAGAGTCGAGGCTCTTTGTTCCCTGCGGGCCGGTGGGCTCCAGGAGAAGCCTGCGCCCGGACAAAGCAGCCGAGCTTGGCCCAGATGCTGGGAGTCTGCGCTGGGGACGCGGGACCTCGGGGAGCAGGAGTGGGCGGGGTGGGGGCCTGACGCAGCCCAGCGCAGCCCAGCCCAGGCGTCCTCGCCAGCCTCTCCAAACTGGCTCGGGGAGGGAGAGTCGCCCAGCCTCCGGGGCAATCATTGCACAGCCCCAGGATGCTTCAGGTGCGCCAGCAGCGGCGTTTCTTCCCGACCCTTCCCTGGGGGGGCACGGCCCAGGGCTCGGAGGAAAAAGAGGCGCACTGGCGCGGATCCGGCCAGCGAGGCTGAGACCCTGCAGCAGCCTCTGCACGCTGAGCCGGCTGCGGGTTCTCCCCAGTTCGTTTTCGAAGGCGTGGGGCGGCTGTGCGAGTTAACCAAACAGGAAGGAGGTGCGCGCGCGGCTAGTCCCCTCCTCCCGGACGGCTGAGCGCGAGGCAGGCAGATGGAGCAAGACGCGGGCAGGAAGCAGCTCCCTTCCTTTAAAACAAATCACTTTTCTTGCTCAGCCGGCACAGCAGCTCCTCCTCCTTAATTCAAGCCCGGCTGCAGTTCTGGGGGGCAAGCCGGTGGGGGTGGGGGCGGTGTCACACAAGTACCCCTGGGGCTCCCCGCTGCCCAGGTCGCCCCTCCTGCTCCGCGGATCTCGGAGCTGGCGTTGCGGGGGAGCGTTTGGAGCCGGACAGCTCCTGTCCCAGCACACTTCCTCTTGTTCCCAGGATGAGACGTTGGGTGGAAAAGCTTGTGACCCAAACTCCTGATTTTAACTCCCCAGTAGTGGAAGAGTTGAGTCATGAAGCTGATCATCTCACTGCCTAGCTTTCCACCCCTGCCACGTGGAGAGGCCGTTTTAAAAGCAGTTGAATTAGATGGGAGGTTTGGTCCAGGCCTTTAAAAGTGATGTCACAGAGGCAGACTCTGGCCTTTGGGGGGCACTGCGTACCTTGTGGGTGGCCAGCAGTTTCAATGCAAGGCCTTCCATCGTTCTTTAGTCTTAGAATATTCTCCTAAATTCATATTTAGCTTTCCTGCTTGCATATTTTTTCCAAAAGGCATGCAATCTTTTGTTTATTCGATACCTCTTTTTACTGTAAAAGGCCAGTATGAGCTAGTAGTTATGTAGTATTACTCTTCTTGCATATGCTATTGAGCAATCCTTGGTAGAAGGAAGGAAAGGCAAGAGGGGTCCAGCTTTCCCATCAAACAGCTGCCTTTTCATATGTAGGGAGGAAAAGGAGCAGCGATTTTTAAAAGGAAAGAGGGATGATGCCAGAGCTGGTCAAGAAATGCCGGGATACCTAAGTATTTTCTTCCACAAAAATGTGTTAATTGGCTCTTATGAATACGGGGTTAATGAAGTTCACATAAAGGCATTGGGATCTGTGCTTGACTCCCCCCACACCATTAATGGCCTCTCAGTGGGCCTAGGGTTTAACTGACTCTGCTTATACTGTGAAGTATTTTTGATAAAGGTTTTCAAAACTCTGGTAGAGGCTGGCCCAGTGTCCGGGGACTCAGGAGGCTGAGGAAGGATTATTAAGGCAAGTTTGAGGTCAATGGACTATATGACAAAAAGGTCTCAAAAAACAAAAACAAACAAAAAACTATGAAAGATAAGATAGGTAGGTATGCTCCTTTAATGAGATAAAGTATTCGAAAGTACAAAAAACTAATTTTAAATTATAAAAAAGTAATGTTACAAATAGTTGTTCTGAGTGTTATTTTTCTTGTGAAATTCATTCACATTATTTCCTGGCTGATGAAAAATGAGACAGTAGCTTCGTTGTCTTATCATCCAGAGATAGCCATGTAAGGTAGAAAACTGCTTACTTCGGGTTATGTTCTAACTCATCACAGAGTGAGTTCTGAATCAATGATAAGAGTGACAGTGGTGATGGGAATGTTTCTAATAGCAGCCACGTTTCAGTTTGCTCAGGGTTGAGCACACTTTTGAAAGTCAAGATTTCCAAAATTGGCACTTCACTTCACCTATTATATTTTTAGTTCTACCAAAAACCTATGAGCAATAAATTGAGGTAAAATATCTCATCATTATTTTTTGTAGTTTGGATCATGGGAATAAAAACACAAAATTGCCTTCTGTTTGTGTTCAAGCAATTCTTTTCTCTTAAATCACTTTTCAGTTTTTAAATTAAGGAGAAAGTTTAACCTAGTCCAAAGGGAACATGCTCATTCCAAATCTAAGGCAGAAAGAGTATCAGTGGAGCTGGATGGAGAGCTTTTGAGACCTCTTTCAGAACAGAAATCAATCATGTTTGTTATATACTGCAGAGCTAATAGTGTGAAGCTGGGAAACCCACATCAAAGACAAAAGCATTTTTGTGTACCACGTAAGAATCCTAAGCATTAGCTGTCATCACTGGTATGTCACAGCTGACCCTCTGCCTGGAGTTTCCATAGTTCCTCTAAGCAAGACAACCCTGTAATATGTGCTTTATGCTGAGTGACTTCTTTGGTTTGTGATTTTCCCTTTTTAAAGGTTTTTGTGTATTTTGTGATTTTTCCTTTTAAAAGTCCAACTTGGATATTTTCATGCTTAGTATTATGCAAATATAAAAAATAAACCCCAAATTTTTTCAGTGCAGCTGTTCAAAAGTCACATCCAATCTGTAATGAAACATCCTTCTTGCCTTGTATTCATGGGAAGGAAATTTTTCCGAAGACAGAAATGCTACAAAGGTCACATGTGGGAAAGCCCATGAGACACATTTAACTTTATACAAAAAATAAAATTCTCCAGAGCTGCAGATAGCGCTGAACTTGGTCTTCTTACTTGTGAGCTCTCTTACTGTTATGGAGGAGTGTGACTACTTGTTGATACTTCCATTCCGAGTTCTTTCCAGTGATAACAGCCATATATTCACAACCCATCGCATCTTCAGAAAAACACAACCAAAACAGCAGTGCAACATCATAGCATTGTGTTTATATAAATAAGTTATAAAGTTTAAAAATCATTTTGGGCAATCTGGGAAAACTCCATGCAATTTAGCATTTCACAACAATCACTGTGCAGGTAAAAATGTATCCACAAGTCAGTTCCAACAGTCTTCTACAGATTAAAGGAAAGGCAAGCCTCTGTGTACAGTTTTATTTTCATGAGGACTTACTGATGGTATAAATAATCATTGTAATAATAGTAATCTGTGTTAAGAATAGTAATCTGTGATATGGGCTGACTTGTTATTAATGGTTGAACATATGATGGTGAATGCTGGGATTTTGTTGTTATTTTGTTTTGTTTTCCTTTTTTTTTTTTTTTTTTTTTTTTTTTTTTTTTTTTCTTTTCTTCACAAAGTCTTGCAATGTAGTCCACTGACTTTGAACTCACTATGTAACCCAGGCTGGCCTTGTAGTCAAGGTGATACTCCTGCTTCAGCCTTGCAGACACTGGAGTTAGAGATCTGAGCAGAGAATCCAGCTTTCCCTGTACTGTTAAAGGCATATCGTGTAAAGTGTGAAGGTTATGTCTATGTTTATCCATATTTTAATTGCCATGTAATTATTATCATTAACATATAATACAAATATCGACTGCTGGGCCACTGAATGGTGACGAATGCTCTATATTTCCTTGCATCCTAAATAACCTCTGTAAAAGGATTATTATTAGCTGCATGCAGGCATGCAAATATATCATTTTCATCAGGAAGACAGTTTAAAGCATTATTTTTACAGAGTTCTAAATTTCTCAGGGAGAGGTTTCATATGATGCTTCGAGCTGCTTCAAATTTAAACTACATGTTTAAAAAAGAATGCAAACCAAAATACCAAAGTATAAGCCTTCAATTATAGAATTCATTCAACAGCTGTTACACAAGCAATGATTCCATTGATAGTAGGCGAGGAATGCCTACATAAAGAGCACAGATTTAGAATTTGTGATTGAACAAGTAGTCGTGTTACTTTTTTACTATGCTTTTGAGATTCAAAAAATTAAAAGGTGTATGTAAAAAAATAAATCCATATGTTGAATGGATTGTTTTTTGTGTCTGTATTATAAAAGTGGCTTTTGCACTCTGAATCTGCATGTACCTCTGTAAAACAGCAAAAATAAGTCCACTGAGTAACAATTGTTGAGCTACGGATGTCCTTCAGCTATAAATGACCTCATAGGTTTCTCTCAGAGTGATCAACCCTGCTACACTCCAGCACTCTGTGACACATGGTATGCCAGCCTCACCATGTTGACTGAAAGTTGGTGACTGGATTTCAAGGTTATGGCAAAGCCCTTGTGGCCTAGAAAAATATTTTCTAGCAACACAAGGCTACCTACCAAATCACAGAATTAACAATGCACACAGGTCACCTGATAGCATGTTTCCTTACCCTCAGAAAAAAGCTCTTGGCATTATATCCATATGTCGCTCTTGAAAGTAAAACTAACCATTGAGGTCACAGGTACAGAAATGTAGACTATTTGACCAAACATCCTGTCTCTATTGTCTAAAAAGAGTCAGATGGGGGCTCAGTCGGAAACAGAGCTTTGATGAGAATTCCTTTCTTCTTTAAGTTCCAAAGAGGTCTTTGTTTGTCTTCTCTATAAAAACAGCTAAGTTTAAAAATGATTGTGAGTAGGCTTTTGTCATGAAGTCCATTCACTTAAGGCTTAACACCTTTCTTCATGCTTGTTTCTTTCCAACCTCTGGAAATCTACATACCAGTGATATATATCACATTATATATTATATGGCCTAGATGAAAATACTTCTTTTCACAAAGCTGGCATTTTTGTTTTGTTCCAGAGATGGTGAATTGTGTTCCAGCCGATCACTTGTCAATAGTTCTGATAAAGTTACTCGAAAGGCGAGCTCAACAATCTTCCAGCACTCTGTGGAAGGCTGGAAGATCAATTCCTCTTTGGTCTTGGAGATACGGTGAGTTTCTTTAATAAAGTAAAATAAATTTCACATCATGTTCTCAAATCTATTGGACTTGCAAACTTTTATTGAACATCTGAGTTATACGCTAAGTATAAATATTTTAGTGAATTAGTGAGCCAGCTGTATTTAACCTTGCTCACTGAAGAATATGAAACCATAAAAATGAAGTTATTATATAGTAAAAAAATTAAAGATGAATATGTGGATTTGAAAATATGGTTTTTATTCTAATGAAATAAAATATTCAACAAAATACTAATATTTAACATACTTTTACACAGTTGCTCATGATGGGAGTACTTTTTGAATTAGTTTTTATCCTTGAGACTCTATTCAGATCTCATGTTGTGTCAGCTAAATGAAAATAGAGACCACGTAATACCTATTTTGTTGATGAATGTGATACATTTGATTTATCCTATGAATGGTTATGTCAACCTGCCATGTGAAAAATGGTTAAAAATCAGGAAATAAGCTTTCTAGAATACTGATTTACCAATTAGACAAAGCATTTAAGTTGAAAGAAACTCTTGAAATTATACTCAGTATATTCATTATGTCATGTTTTGTAGTAGTCCTAATGCTAATAACAAAAACTGTTTTTAAAATAGGTGCATCACTTGGCTGCATTGATTGATATGCTTAAATTACATCATTTCAATATCAAAGCTCAAGATAATACATCTTTTATAGAATAAAATCATTAGATATTTCTAATATGGAAAAATGTAAATTATTCACTGGCTGGATGGTAACATTTGTTTTGTAAGAGTGTGTTACTGATTGAAAGGGGCTGATCTGTTTGTCTAGGTTTCTATTTGCTCACTCCTTGATTCTTACCTATACATGGTACAGGTTGTAAGCAACCGGAAAGAAGGATCTATGATGCTAATTCTTAGAATATGCACAATAATTCACAGAGTATATTTCAGCAAAGGCGTTTTCCGACAGGTTTAAATGTACCTGAAAGTATCTGGAAATTAAAAAGAGATGGATGTCAGAGAAAGACAGGAATGATTAGCTACTCTGTATTAAACTTCTGGAAGGGATAGGAACTGGAGATGGGAATCAGCCCATTGCAATGTGGAGTACTGTGTGCCTGAGTGCTTATAGTTTAAGGAAAACTTGGTATATTCATGGTTCTAATACAAGAATGAGGAGATGTGTAGAGTATGATGATTTATAATTTGATGTCTCTTGGGCAGAATACAGATTGAAAGAAAATTCTAAAGTGGCTAGAAAAATACTTTTAAAACTCACATTTAAAAATTCAGGAAATTCTTTATAGATGTATGGCTTTACAAATCTGTCCATAAATTTAAAGATTTTACAACTTGGATCTGTGTTTTTCCTGATGTGTAGTGAACTGGGGCCATGAGGAGCGATCTCTCTCATTCTGACATTTTTGGACCACGGAATGTGTTCTCCCACGCGGTCTGTTTAGTGTCTTCCTCTCTCACCTTCCAACTCCATATTGAGTTTAGAAACCCTGCGAGAAACAAGGTAGTTATAAGGAATGAGGCCAAGTGGCATCCTACACCCAGATGAAATTTAGTGTAAGGATTCATGTTTCTTGAAGGTAGATTAAAAAGTAAGAAATATGGATGATCCAAAAGGAAAACTTTGATGTATAGTATGTCTAGAATGAAAACCTTTAATTGAATGGTTTAACAAGAAGACAGCAATTAACTTAGGTGACATGAATCAAAGGAGGTACTATAAGAAGATAAAGTAAAATAAGAAACTAATAGTTTAGTGAGTATATCTAGCCATGCTAAATGATATTTCACATAAATCGAACTCTGCCATGTAAATTCTCAGTAATAGACGCTAGTTTAATTATTACATCTAGCCATACTTTCCAGTGACTATAATATTAATACTATAGCTGTTATTCTGACTCTAGGTACATATAGCTAGTTTTATTATTAACAGTTCACTATTATTGTAAATGAAGAAATGTCATTTTTTTGTGCTAAATGTTATGAGTAAATCTGTGAACATTGTACTGAGAGATTATTTGACCAAGTCTAACATTTGTGACAATATTTTTCCACTTTTGGATTATTTGTTCTAATTTTGATATACTAATTAAAAGGCAAAAAGAAATGTAAACTGCCAAATACAGATGTTTTGAAATAGATAAGTGTGGCTTCTCATCAAAACAGCTTAAACACATCATTAGAAAAATATTTTCAATACTTAATATATATCAAAATTCCTAATCAGCTAAGACTTACCAGTTAACTGAACATAATTGCAAATTTATATAAGCTTACCTTTCAAAAGTAACTTGTTACTGTATGCATGAATTTGCTTTAGAAAAAGGTCTATATATAATACTTAAAACATCTTCTATTTACTTTCTTCATTAAATGACCATTACTGCCAATCTTGGGTGAGAAAGTTTCTTCGACACAAGCCCAGTCTTGTTTGACTGTTCAGACAGTGTACTACTAGCAAGTATATGTCTTGAAATACTATATTTTAATGCAAATAATATGAATAATTTAACATATGATCATGTAGAGCATAATATTTTTCTTTGCTCTAAAATAACGTACAATATTATTCATCAAATATTACCAAACTTTGGACTAAGACTTACACGGCAACCTGGAGTGGAAGGGAAAACTGTTTTCTTTAAGTTTTTTGGGCAATTTCATCTTTTAATTTGCTCATGATTACTTGGGGTTTTTCTTTTGTTACTAGAATGTCTCCAACTATAGCAAGTTCAGAAGTCCCAATCAGTCAACAGACGCTTCATTCTTCTACAGATTTGAAGCAACTTGTTTTGGAAAGCAAACCTTTTGGGCTAAAAATTGGTGTGTTCTTTTTGTTTACTGAATGCTTAAGAAAATCATTAGCATTTTTTTCTTTATATCATTAGCAACTGAATTGATTGAATTGGAGGCTGATCTGGAGTCCCTGTCTATCAAATTTTGAAAAATTTGACTATAAATGTATATCACAACCTAATTTGATTTTCAGCGTGAGATGCTTTGCTGCTGTAAGATTTGTCAAACATTACTTTCTGTTGATTTGTGCTGTGTGGATTAAATTTTAATTGTTGCAGTACACGTGCTTATTATTAACAGTAAAACTACAGAGAAGAAAGAGAGACATCTGGTTCTAGGTTAGTTACAAGTGAGAAAACAATGTTTAGTAAACTAGTTTCGAGGCACTCTTCAGTTGCTATTTCAAGCCATGAGTTTTGTTGAAAGGGAAGTTGTAGTTGAAAATTCAGTTGAAAAGTTTCACATAGAATCTATTCCTGTCAGCCTAACAGTCTAAAACCAACCTTTCGGTTTAAGCCAGTGTTGCTTAACAGTAAAGGTTCATATGACTAATATTTTTAGCGTCAATGAAAACAAAACATTTTCAGTTTTTGCTGTTATCTTTAACATTCAACAGAGGTTTCAGAAGTTGCGGTAGGACCAAAAAGTTACAGTTGGGCATTTGTGAGCAACTTTGCTGCTCTCCAAGATACGCACAGAAACTCAACTCCCTGCTTTGACTATCTGGTCGTAATTTGACTACAAATTAACACAATTTATGGGGGTATGCCTCATACATTAAATACTAACTTTTATTGGTTCAATTTTCTTTAGACCTTAGATAGTAAACTTAGCTTTTATCTCAGTTTTTCTATTTCTTATTTAAGAAATAGTTTAGTCTGCTGGACTGTCAAATTCTTATCAATCATATTCTCAGCAAAAGCATATATTTATTTGGTGATGCTTAAAGCACTATTTTCATGGTCTTAATGACTTTTAGCCTATTATACATAAACTAAAGTTTTATTTTTACTTTCCCCAACATATTTATAGTCTAAATACCAAGAATATTTAGCAAACACATGGAGATTTTACGGCCCATTACATCTATAGTCTTGAAAGATATCTTCAGCCTGATACAGAAAGAAAAAAACAAATCTTTCCTTACGGTTTAAAACAGTTTTAAGCACTTCCATAACAATATTATTCACTGGTATTAATTGTTTTCTGTCTTTCATCCACTTATGCCATTTATCTCAGACAATTTTCTACATCTAGGTTTAACTCCTAAAATAAGAATTAGCAGTTCTTTCAATATAAGAAAAAGAACTTACTGGAGTCATTCAAATTTTTGTTTTTTTTTCCCTTTTCAGTTTAAAAAAGCAAATAGTATCCCTAACGACTATTTTGATTTTTATTTAAGAATTTTTTGCATTATGATTAATATGAGTTACTGATTTTTTATTTCTTTTGGTAGTACTTTTACTATTTTTACTACTATCTTAAAAAATAAACTGTGGTAAGCCTTTAACATAGTGTTAGAAGAACACATAATATAAGTTTCCATTAAAGTGTAATAATTATTTGCCCCTTTAAGCACTATTTTCTTCAAGATGTCACAAAATAGTGCATGTAAAGCTTTTCTCAAGTAACGTAGGCCCCTTTTTGTACTACTTTTCCTAAAAAGGAGTAACATAGAGAAGCTCAGTTGTACTGAAAAGTTTATAAGATGTGTTTTCAGGTATTTTCACTGCTTTGTGTCACACAGAAAGGGCACAATTGTTGGAAAGTCCTTCTTGCTGTTAGTAGAAAGTCATATAAGTGCTAACTTTTTTGATGGGGTAGAAGTGATTTTTTTCTTTAGAGTTTCCAGGCCACCATATTTTCTTCCATATTTAGACCTCTAATTTACTCACCTCAGACTTGCAAACATCCACCATCGGAGCACTTACATCTCCAAGAACATCTATGGCAACCTGCTCAAATGACGTGCACAGGAAAGCGATAACATCATGCAGTTGGCTCAACCACATCCGTGCAGTCTGTTCTTTAGAGCCAGTCTTGTCGTTTTCACAGGAAATGAGAAATTTATGTTGAAACATACTTGTCAAAATATTAACTTTCCACAGACAAATAAATGACAACTAATAAGTATCTGCAGAGATTTCTGTGTTTTTCCCCTCTGGGTACTAATTATTAATTTTTTAAAGAATCACAAAAGTGACATAATGTGACACAATAAAAGACTTCTCCATTTCCTCCTTGATCCAGAAGCCCATCTTTGAGGATTTCAACTGTAGTTCTCATCTTATGTACTCTTTGTACCATTAAAATTAACTATTATGGTGCTTGATAACATTTCTGATAATTTTTCTGATTTATTTTGTAGGGTGTTGGTACAGAATTTTCTTTACAATTATGCTTAAAATATATTTATTTTCCAAAGAGCTGATAGACATATCTCTTATCTGTAGAGAATTTTCAGTCAATTGGTTTTCTAATTAGATCACACATGAAACTAGAATTGGTTCGATGAAAGTCAAGCAAAATGAGAAGGGTATGAGCTTGTTACGTTACATCCTTCTTTGCTAATCATCTTTCTAGGCCAAAGGTGTAAGCTGGAAAAGAATTATTCTGGTAGTTATCAACAGAGATAGTCTTGAACAGAGGACATTTTGTTCTTAGTTTTAAAAATGTGCCACTTATGATGAAGCTTAAACAATAATATTCATAGAGAAAAGTGTGTTAGATCATAAATTTTATACCAATGACTGGTTTTTTCACTTCAACAGTACTGGCCTGAACACCTGTACTTGTAGCACTCGGTGAGGTTAAGTCAGGAAAACAGCAAGTTAGAGCCCGGCCTAGGCACATTAGTGACTCAGTGAGATCTATGTCAAAATAAAAAATTTTAATAAAGACTGATGATGTGGTGATGTTGATCAGTACAAAGTCCCTGCTTTCAATTTTCACTACCACAAAAAAAAAAAAAAATCAATAAAAGCACGTTGGGAATAATATTCAGTTTCCAACACTGATGTAAAATTACCTCTACTTATTTCTTGCTGTTTGGTATTCTATGGAATAATTACAAACTTTGATTGGCCAGGTCCATAATTTTCTGACAATACAATTTTCTTAAGAGCTTACTAGGATTCTGGCCTACTACTTTGTAGTTAATTTCAAATAAATGACAGTAAGATTATTTTGCTTTGCTCCCCCAATTATTTAGAGATATCCTTTAGTTCACTGTAATTAATAGCAGCTGCCTTTTTTCATTTGACTCTCTGGACTCATGTTAAAAGTCAATATCCCTCTTCTTGTTGGTTTGACTCTGATTTACAGTCATAGTCTATTGTTAATTGGATTACAGAAACAATTAAAAATCCAAAGTATTAGACTACAAACAGTTTAGATTACAAAACATTGTTGCAGATATATTTTTTTTCAGCTTAGCTTGCAACTTCGTTATTTCATGCCTGACTTCACCTTTTTCAGGCCCCTTCTAAAATAAAAAAAGAACACTTTTTAACAAATATTCAAATACAACAACAAATTTTTTAGGTAGAGGGTACAACTTCTAAACCATGACAGACAGTGGCTTTATCAAGTACATTTTTCTATATCGTGTCAGGATGTATCATCTTCCCAGCCTATTTTCACATTTTTCATATATACATATATATATATATATATATATATATATATATATAATATTTATAATATATAATTGGATATATATTAGCTTTTGACAAGATGAGCTTCTATAAGAAAGATGGAAAATATGATGGCCAAATAAATTGTGATTTTCATTTCTTTGTCATATATACATGCACATGAGCTGCTTGATCCCCCTTAACAAAGCTGACTCATACAACCAAACCTAGCTGTATTTAAATTTTAAAATATTGAAAGTATTCTGAGAATTCATTTTTCATATAAAATCTTAAAAATTCAAATAGTAAACAGCCGAGAGACAGAGATGACATAAGCAGCATTTGACTCTGTCTGCTGTATGCAATCCAGCATTCCACTAACCATCATTTCCTTTACTGTACTGGATTTATGTCCTGGAATCTCAGACTAGAATGACAACTTGCATATACATATAGTGACATAGTTTTACATTTTGTTCACATATTTATTAAATCTAGGTGAGTTTTATAAATATTTATGTTTATTGGAAAGGTCAATCTTTTTAGTAATGTTAAATACGCTCTAAATTCAAAATACTTACAATCTTTCTGTTTAGTTGAATTAGGCTACAATGAGTAAAATAAATGACTATAGAAAATGGAAAGCTGGTATCAGAACATCTAACTTTGAAAAATCATATATATATATATATATATATATATATATATATATATACCAACAAAATTGTTATAAAGTCTGCACAAATTGCTTTTAAAGACATATTTAATTTCCTGTAAAACATCCTTAATTGGTTGATGTAATTACCACTTGAAAATTCAAGATCAGTCATTTACTGATTTATGTTTCATGCTTGACAAATGACATTACCAGTTTCTGGATATGCTATGACGTGAGACCCTGCTTGTGTTTCAAATACAGGAAAAACATCCTTCGTTTCTTAGATGCAGAACGAGACGTCTCAGTGGTGAAGAGCAGCTTTAAACCAGGTGATGTCATACACTATGTGCTGGACAGACGCCGGACACTAAATATTTCCCATGATCTGCACAGCCTCTTACCTGAAGTTTCACCAATGAAAAATCGTCGGTTTAAGACCTGTGCCGTTGTTGGAAATTCTGGCATTCTGCTAAGGAGTGGATGTGGAAAGGAGATTGACAGTCACAACTTTGTCATAAGGTGAGTGAGATTGTAATTTCTTCAAAGACCCTTTACTTAGGAATGGAAAACTGGCAGAAATGTTTGAATTTAAAAATCAATATAAAATTTGCTTTATTCCTCAAATGTTTATCTGTGATATCCTTCTCTGTGTTACACCCAGACCTATATTAGCTTGGAATAGAAAAGTGAAATTGCTGCATCACTGTTCAAAAAGCTGCCTGCATTGTAACAGTGATTCACAGCAGCTTTGGAGACGGGTGGAGGCAGGTATCAATTTTAATACACTTAACATTCAAATAATAATTAAGTAAAACCTCACCTTTACATTCATTAGTTTGGTGTAACTTCATTTGTTTTATAACAGTGGAGAATATTACTTTGCAACAATGTCATACATGTAAAACTAATTTTAGTTTTTAATTATGTAGCATTCAAAGAAAGTGTTTTAGCAAGTTTATATATGATATCAGCCAAATTCCCTTTATTACTCCTTATTAATAATATTTGTCTATAATAATATAGTTTAGTATTTTAGTTTTTCACATAATTGAACATACCTGTTTTTTATCGATGGTCAGCAGATATTTGGTGATTTAGATGTTTGGTTAACTTTTTATTTACTGAATAAACTCAACCAATGGTAGAAATAGGGTTGTGATTACATCATAGATTTTAACAGTTTTCAAGTTCCAGTTCTTATATCTGTGGAGGTTTTCCTGTTAGTGTTAGAAACACTTGCTGAGTGAACTAAACATATATATTGAATTATGAGAAAGTATAATACAAAAATAATACAGTATATCAGTTGTCATACTGATAAATGCTTGGAGACTCTTGGGGGTAGGCTATTAACACAAGCTATGCATATAGAGATCTTGATAAAATGTTTTGAAAAAAAGTCTTAAATTAAATTGATTATGAACGTGCTATCTCTGTTCAGGAATGCTTTTATTTGCAAACAGTTTGGCTCCCAAATGGAAACATTTGACAAAATTTTGATTTTGTTTACAAACACTGCATTAGGTGACAAACAGGGCCATAACCCTCTTTCCCACACAAACACAAAAGTGGCCGTCTTTTCCAAAATCTTAGAACAAATTAAGTTTCAACCGAAGTACCACTGGTGTATATAATTTGGCATAATTAGACTTCAATTTTTTCAAAAGCCAATCCTATCTTTGAAAAACCAGGTGGATTCAATTCATACTTATAATTCTAACTAGGCATTTTACCTTATTATCTTGCCTTTTCTCAGCCTAATGTTAGATATTGATTTAAAACCAGTTGAACTTTTAAAATACTGAACTCAGAAATTGATTGGATTGAAAATAAAACCTGTGGATTTGAGTTTCCTTGTAGATATAAAAATAAAATTACATATAAAGCAGGAAAGAGAACTTTGATTGTGGAATAAAAACATGTGGAACCAATGTGCTTAAAATATTGATGTCTAGGGCTGGGGATTTAGCTCAGCGGCATAAACGCCTGCCTTGCAAGCAGGCAGTCGTGAGTTCGATTCCCAGTACCGATAAAAAGGAAAAAGACAAAAAAAAAAAAAAAATATTGATGTCTGTATAGCAGAAAATGTAAGACTTAGAATTTCTAAAGTGACTAGAGTGACAAGTGAAGTAAGATGAAGTAAATCTTTTAAAGATAATGCAAATTATACTTTAAGGTGCGTAATACTAGAGGACAATAAACTGACCATGACAGGTTTTTCTCCTGTATCCATTTTAGTTTTGGTATTGGCACTTAATTGAAGTTGTTAGGTTTAACCCCAGCTCTGAGTTTGAAGTGGAGATTGCTTTTAAATATGAGCAATGAGAGAGATCTGGTATTACTACTTAAATTTAGAATCAGTTCATTGATAGTGCTTTCTGCTGTCTTTATTACCTGATTTATTTAGACCAAGTTTTTAATTGTGCCAATTTAAAATTACCAAGTTATCTAACACAGCATTTTGTCTCTGGTGAGAGCATTGCTACTCTCTTTCCATCCTAACAGTGACAAGTGATCATCCTGACTTTATATCACAGTTTCGTTTTCCTACCATTCGTTTCTTAGAAACTGCACAACCTGTACTGTAGCAACTCTCTTGTAATATACAGATTTCAGGTTTCAAAATTCTTAGTCTCTAGTCCACCTGTGAGCAAGATGTGATTCCATGAATTCCTGCTGACTCTCTCTTTTATTCTAAACTTACTGCCTATTTTCTGTTTCACTTGCAAAGCAGGATTAGCAGGCCAGCTGGCAATGCCCTGGCAGTTCTGTGTACAACTGGGCATTTGAGTCACCTCTAACCTACTGTGGGTCTCCTTTAGCAAAATATCAGGGTTATAACAACTTAGTTAATGCATATGTCTTCTCTTCTTTAATGACTTAGGCATCTAATTTTGTCCCTAATTTCTAGGCTTAAAAAAACTGTTTATTCTGCTTTAGATTAATAAAGTCTGGTGCTAACCTTAAACTACTCTTTGGTGGTTCTAACAGAATCCAACTCCAGCAAATTCTACTGGACTGGTTTTAAGTCATATTTTGTGGTTCTTAATCAGTCTTACTGGTACCTGGAGATTAGATTTCAGGGACTAGTTTTGATTTCTGAGCCTCTATTTTACATCAGCTTAGGACAAGTGCTTTAGGACAATGGGAAAAAGATCTTTACCACTTATTATGTGAGAACCTCACAGACTCCACAGTTACTTTTCAACCTCAGACTTTGTGAGTACAATGAATGCCTTATTTAGTTTTACCCTTTGTGAGTGTACTATCTGTACAGCCTCTTGATTCAGACTTACCAAGGTATTGTGCTCACCCAGCGATCTGTGACTTTACAAATCAAAGCACTACTTTAAGATAAAACACTCTTTAAACATTAATTAGGTTTCTACTTGACCTTTAGGGGGAAGGGATTTAATGAAATAAAATGAAATCTTCTTTAGGTATATAGCAGAAGACATTACTGCATGCAAATCAAAATGTCTTGAGCCAGATAGTTTTTCTTTCAGCTGCAGCAGTGAGGATCACATAAATGACAGTAATTGAAGACTTTTCCTGATGTCTTGTAAAGAACATTTTATGATCAGTCTGGGAAACGCACTGATGTTACATGGGGAAACCAACACACTGTAATCCATTTCCTTTCCTAAAAATGGCACTGACTCAGTGGCTTCTTGTATCACTCACTAATCCATCATGTTAAATGCTGGGGGCCAGGGAATATTAAACAAAAGGGAATTCTAGTTAGGTCATTAGGTGAAGTTTAAGGTACAAATGGCAATCAAAACATAAAGAAAGTTAAATAAAATAAACCCTGTCTTTGATTCTTTAATGCATGTCTAAATATTACACTGGTTTCTTAAATCTGAGTGCCAGGTACACAAGCATCTTAGTAACTGAACACAAATAGAAGAAAATTTGATTTCTTATTAGAAATTTCTAAAACCGTAAGTCTAAAACCATTACTGAGAACATTGTGATCATTTTTTTGTACACGTTCAAACCTCAAGATAACTTGTACTGTACTTGGTTTCTTGATTAGACAAATGTCATGTTGCATGGAAGAAAGCACAGTTAAGATCGAAAAATAAAGCAAATAACAAGCTCTAGCTGAAAATAAATTATTTTTTTAAAAAAGAAAATAACCTATTGACCTGCAACTTTCTCTAAACAGTTTTCACTCTGTATGATAGAGTTCTCAGGAAGTTTCACATTGTGTCACACTGCTTCCAAGGAGCATGCTTTTGACTAATAATGTCAGTTTTATCCCAGCTCTCAATCAGAAGAGCAAATGGAAGCAGAAGGGATAAAAATATTCTAGTCTTGTCAGATCTATTTCTTCAAATATGAATGCTAATTTTGAGTGCCCTGCATGCATTTCTTGAAACTACAGAGAAATGCAAGTTGCTCTGCAAGAAACCTCACAAACAGCAGATATAAACCATGCACTGTACAAAAAGAATCCAGTAACGTGTACAATTTTATCAACAAAATTCTCCTTCTTTGAGTTTAATGTGTTTTTTCTTTAAACATCTGTGTCTCTAATACTGCTAAGTACAAAAATTGTAAAATACCATACAGCCTTTTTTTATGCACTAATAAAAGACAAATTCCAATTATTTGGTTGGCTGATGCTACTCTTCTAACATCAGTAGCAATAAGTGTGCAGAGTGAAAGAAGGAAAAGATAACTGATGTTAAAATTGCGGAACACTGAAACACAGCTCATTGTGTAGTACTTATAATATCAAGGAATTTAACAGCTCCAAAACTAATTTCATGAAATTTATCTCTTACCCACATTCCACATTAACTAAAGTTATAACAGCCAAAGTAGATAGGTTTTGTATTCTTGCACTTATTTGAAAAGAAACTAACCTGTTAAAAGATAAATGTTAACTTCCTTTTATCAACATTACTGATAACTCATTACATTTCTTACTCATCCAATTATCTTATTGTGTGAAACTTGCACCAGTCAGGAGCAGATCCTGACTACAGAACTGAATGTCTTTACACTTCTTTTAAAGGACTTGAAGGGTACCCCTGCACTCAAAAGGCTCTTTGAAGAGTCTTAGCAAATTTAAAACACTTGTCTATAACCAGTTCTCTTATTTTGAATCATGCAGATGGATTATAAAATGTGTGGTAAAGAAAACAAGTTATGATACCAGTACTACATGGGGCCGAACTCCTAATTTTACCAAAAACCTTTTAGATATTCCAGGATAAATATCAATACATTATTAATCTATAAGTAGCACATAAAATATACTTTAGGAAGATATAATTGAAAATTTTGAAGTCTTATTATATTGTCATAAGACTACATGCTTCTATGTACCAACCAGAAGATATATTTACAGCGTGTATCTCCATAATTTAAAGAATCTATATAATCAAAAATCTATAGAATCTGTTCAGACAACTAATGGATTTGTTCTCCCTTACAAGGTGCTGAATAGTATTCAACTGCACTCAAAAGTCACTGTACTTTCTACAGGAGCTGTGTTACAAAATAGT